CAACTAACTAACAACAACATAATACGAAAATTAAATCATACTATAACTAACGAACATAAGTTCAACTAACTAACAACAACATAATACGAAAATTAAATCATACTATAACTACTAAAAACATAATTAGACTATAATACGAAAAGTCTCAACATACCGAAAAATTTATGTTCTGTGTATTATGCTCGATTTTGCCTGCTGAAATTTGAAGAAAGGGGAGTGGTTATGTTTTTACAACTGCTGGTAGTGTGCAATTTATAGGAAAATCTGCCCACTATTCACCGTTTTTGTCGAAAACGGTGAACACTATCACCGCGTTTGTCTCAAACGGTGAATAGGTGGTAGCTGCGACCTAATTTTGACCTACCAGGGGTGGGAAACGTGGGAAAAATCACTGCGTTGATTGACAACGATGAATGGGTTCACCGTTTTTGACCAAGACGGTGATGTATTCACCGTTGTAAACTAACGCGGTGAATACTTCACCGTTTTCGTGTGAAACGGTGAATACTTCACCGTTTTTGTTTAAGACGATGAAGCATTCACCGTTTTGGTCAAACGCGGTGATAATCTTCACCGCTTTTGTCTAAAACGGTGATGCTCAAACATGTGTACTTTGGGAAATTTTTTTTATAACTCATGTATTTTGGGAATTTTTTTTAAAAACGTGTGTACAGTGGGATTTTTTCCCATATCTTGCACCAAAACGAATAGAAGTCAGAACCAACCAAAAATCAAACTTAGATCAAGAACAAGAAATAAAAAGAAAAAAACTCCCCTGTCAGTTCTGGTCGCCGGTGAAGCTCGGACTGGTGGCGGCTGATTCTTTCTTTGTCCCACCTCCACAAAAATACCAAAATAATAGAAATCAGAACCAAACAAAAATAGATCAATAGACCAGAATAAACAAAAAAGGTTTACCTAGAGTTCCTCACCGGCGAGGTCAAGCTACCAGCGCCTCCTCAGATCTCTTCCCTTCGTCCACCACAAGAAAAACTCAAACGAGTTAAACTCAAAATCGAGTGCAGAATCCAAATAAAAACAGACATGCATGTGATAAAATTTTACCAGAGGGTAAGATTCACCCCTCGTCGCTGTCGTTTCGGCGAGGGATAGTAGATCGGGAAGCCTCCTCGATTTTGGGCTGATTTTCCGAAAAAAATAAACAAGAGAAAGCGGTTAGAACAAAAAATAAACCCCCTCAAAATCAACAAATAAATTGAAAGAAAGAACATGCATGTCTAGGATCTTACCTAGATAGAGACCTTCTAGGTTGATACGAGCGATTCCCTCGGCCGCCACGAAAAGGAGAAGACGGCGGCGCAGAGGAGAGAGCTAGGTCGTCGGTTTCCCTTTCTCGGATTAGAGAGGGAGAACGCGAGGGAGAGAGGAAAGGAGAGAGTGACGGCGACGTTGTTTGGGTGGCTGGAGTTTTGTTTGACTTCTCCAAGAAAGACGATAGATGGAGAAGGAGAGAGGCGGCGGTTAAGTGGACTTAGGCGGCTAAGGTTTGGCTTCTCTGAAAGAGAAGAAGAGAGGCGAGAGGAGAACGAGGAGAGAGAGAGAGGAGTGGCAGCCGCTAGGTAGAATAAGATTAAGGTTCGTTTGAGAGGTTTATATACCTCGGCTGACAAAAGGACGTGATTGCCCCTAGAGTTGCTCACAAATTACCACCCTCGCCACCGTGTTTTTGGGTATTTACCTAACTAACCTTTCCCCCTCTCTGATACAAAACGAGAAACCCAAAAAAATTGAGGTGACCAGGTCTCGAACCCTTATCCTCTGAATCGAGTGCGCTATACGTTTGACGCAAGGTTGTCAAACCGGTTTATGCCGGTACGCCGGTTTTACGAGTGGAATGGTTCTACCGTGGTAGAACCAGTTTCATGCCGGTTATGCCGGTTTGTGCCGGTTTTACCAAAATTTCTGGATATGAATATAATAACCCATTACAAAAAATATATCTAAAATATATCCATAATTAAATTAGGACAAGATTAAATACCAACTCACTAATGTTCATAAGTTAATGTTAACACCTAAATGTTCATAGTTAAATCCAACAAACACCACACAAACATTCATAGTTTAAAGTACATAACCAAACATTCTCAAAGATAACATCACCTAAACATTCAACAAACATCACCCAAATGTTCAAAGTACATAATCAAACATCCTCAAAGATAAAACCATCCATCTCCATCTCCATTGCGTCAATGATTTGAGTAAGATCGAAATCGATTTCATCAGTCACATCATAATCAAAGTCCTCTGCACCAAACAACAAAACCATATATATGATTGTTAATAATGACAAGTTCACTATTATAACAAGAATGAATTTACTTTAAATTATAATATACTAAGCCAACCTTCAACACGAGGACGCTTTCTAGATGAGGATGATGATTCCTCCTGCTCCTCCTCCTCATAGAGAGCCTTTTCAATCTCCTCATAATCAATGTCTGCAGGTGGATCTTCCTCTACAATCCAAAAATCAATCTTATCCAATTGCTCATAGTCAATTGGATCTCTCTTCCACTCTTTCTTCACGCACCTAAAAATCAAAGAAGATGAAACAATTAAGTATATAAAGTACTAATAAGTTTCACAATGTAACATGCAAAAAAAATATTACCTAGACTTCAATCTCAGATTGTATGTCACATAAACAAGATCGTTTAATCTTTGGTGCTCCAATCGATTCCTCCGCTTGCTATGAATTTGGTCAAATACACTCCAATTTCGCTCACAACCAGAAGATGATGATGTTTGAGACAAAAGTCGTATAGCAACACTTTGCAAATTTGGAGCATCATCTCCATATAGTGTCCACCATTCAGCTACATTCAAGTATATAAGAGATAGCTGATTTTTGATAAGATATACAGAAAATAAATAATAGAGTCATTACAATTGATTACCTGGAGGTAAAGTAGTAGCACACGAGATAGCTGATTTTTTACCAAAGCTCCCAAGCCTTTCTCTAAAAAGTCTAATCTCCTTAATTGCTTCATCAACATCCTCACATAAGCCGTCAGTCTCAAGGAGATCAACAAGCAAACCTTGTACTCCACGCTCAGCTCGACATTCCGGGGTATATTGAAAAATGGGATTCAAGAAATAGGCAGCTGCATAGATGCTACGTCGAAGATGCTTATCCCATCTAGCATCAATTAACCTCATAAAAGGATCAGCTCCTTTTCCATTTCCCATGAAAGTGTTCTTGATAGTACTCTTGATCCGATTCATTCCGTCATAAACATATCCCAAAGATGGCTGCTCATCAGAATCAAAAATCCTCAACAACTTCACAATTGGCAATGTCAACTTCACAATTACCAAACACTCTTGCCAAAAGTTGTTATCCAACACAACACTCTTGACAAATTTTCCCTCTTTACTTTTCCCCAACTTGTGATTTGCAAAAAAACCGCTAGTGACAAGTTGCTCCAGCAAAGACCTATGATCATAGAGACTTTTCAAGCAGATGAAATGAGTAGCAAACCGAGTAGCTCATGGTCGTGCAATTTGCTTCCAACCCTCTAACTTTTTCAGAAAAGCTAAGATTGGGAGATGACTATACACAAACACAGTAATCTTTTGAGCTCGAGTGACTAAGCTTGAAACATGGTTCATCTTGTAGATATCTTTCAGCAAAAGATTGATAACATGTGCCATGCATGGAGACCAAAAGATTGTGCTATACTTCTCATGAATCAGCTTACCCGCAGAAACATAGTTAGGTGCATTATCTGTAACAAAATGCACAATATTCTTCGGCCCAATCAATTTAATCACATCACCAAACAACTCAGCCAAATTCTTTGCATCTTTAACCATATCTGATGCATCCACAGATTTGATGAAACATACACCCTTTGGACAATAGACTAAGAAGTTAATCAATGATCTTTGACTCATATCAGTCCAACCATCAGCCATTAAAGTGCATCCACTATTTTCCCAAGTCCTTCGATAATCATGTATAATTGCCGTGCATTCTTCTTTGACATCTCTTAATAAAGGCACTCTCAATTGGTGATAAGAAGGTACCTTATATCCAGGGCCTACGGCAGCTGCTGCATCATATGATATCTGATAATATTCCGAGTGTGCAGCATTGAACGGAAGCTTTGCATGATAAAACCACTTAGCCACCATGAGGTCTGCATGCTTCTTTGCCTCTTTTCCTGCGAAAGCACTCCGAATACCAGGTTGAGCTCCTGGGCTTGTTCTTGGAGCAAAGAAATTAGGAGTTGTTGCAGCGCTTTTCTGTACTACACCTGTACTACCTTGCTCCTCAGAATCATCAACATTAACCCTTGCAATAGGCGTTGATTTAGTAGTCGCCTTAAGTAAAGCCTTGAACTTCTCACGAATATCATGGGTAACTTGAGGGCAAGGACCAACTTGACCCCTTTCTCCGGCTAAATGTTGCTTCACTCTCGTAATTCCTCCACCTTTTATAATACGAGCACACAGTTTGCACTTGTTCCACAACTTCCCATCTTCAGTTCTGATTTCTTCGGCATACTCCCAAGTAGGATCTTCTTTTGAGCGAACTGTGGAAGAAGAACCAGCATTACTACTTGCCACAGATGGTTGACTGGATGCATTGCCGGAGTCCATCTGCTTTGATCTGTAAAATTGAACATGAACTTTACCAAATTGAACATGCTCATAACGACTACTCAAATCAAATCAAATCAATGAATCTCTCTACTTTGGAATAATTTGTTTGTAAAGAACCCAACACTTCCAGTGCCAAGGGAAGCCATAAGACAGAATTTGCTCACACACATATGACATATCTGTAGTCTTCCAAGGGTTCTTGTTGCTCGAAAGCCTGAGTTTATGTCTGCAAGTTACCTGAGGCGAGGAAGAAGGTGGCGAATTGAGTGAAGGGCTGCTGTTTCGTGCCTCGCCGGAGGTATTTCTGTTGGCGAATCGAGGCGTCGGAGGAAGGGCGGCTGCTGTCGAGTCGAGCCACCTCGTGAATGTTGCTGTGCAGCTGTGGAATCGAGACGCACCGGAAGGAGGCCTCGCCAAGCCGCGCCGGAAGGAGAAGGAGATGGAGGCCGCTCCGGCAGGAGAAGGAGAAAGAGGCGATCAGATTGGAGCTCGTCTCACGTCTGGGCGGCGAGGTGTTTCTCTTGCTCGGCTGCGGAAGAAAGGATGGGTCGTCGCGATTTGTTGCTCGGCTGCGGAAGTGAAACCCTAAACAGCAAAACGCGATCTTTTTTTTTTTGTTCAAAACCAAAACGTCGCCGTTTGTGTCATTTGGCCGGCATCTCTCGTACCGGTTGAACCACCGGAATCCCGGTTTTGACCGGTTTTGACCGGCTTTGACTGGAGGGTTGTGCCGGTGGTATTCCAGCCGGTTTCATGACCGGCACCGGTTGGACCTGGTTCAACCGGCCGGCATACCACTGGCATGACAACCATGGTTTGACGCCTTAGCCAGTTGGGTTGCTGGCCCATTATGTAACAATATAATCACCCCGTTTAATTGTATTCGTTTAAGATTCCTAATACAAAATGCAAAATGCGGATTAAGTTAGTTTTGCTTCTCTTTTGATGCCACGAATTTCTTCTTAATAATTAAAATTCTTGCTTTAATTTTAGTCATATCATAATAATCTAAATGAATTTTTATTAACAAAATTATAATACGAAAATCACGATCAGTGGAACGTGATTACAATTAAATTGTCAAAGTTCAAACGAACTACGTGGACTTTGATCCCGTGATGCGGGTACGTAGGCAAGCGATAAGGTTCGAGTCCAACTAACCAATCAACTTTATCTTTAAATTGTACGTCTGTGGACGTATAATTAAATTACAACTAATACGATAAAATCATTTATTGGTCCAGTGGGATCCCAAAAATACATATTTTCTAAAATACACCCAACTCGTAGAAACTTATCAGGCTTAAGTAGTACCGATTTAGGGCGTTGTGGGGGTGTTGCTTAATTTCCCCACACGTAACCGTACTCCCGAACCCAGAACTTTATTTTCGCAGACCATGTCTTGGTTTTCACCCTAAGGTTAGAGCCAACCGACGAGTGTTCGATCCACTCCAAGTAAGATCGATGCCGACTCCCAAAAAAGCCGACGAGACGACATCGGACCCCCGGAGGGACGGTTGCGACAGTTGGCGACTCCGATGGGGACTTCGAGAGTCGAGCTACATAATTAAGTTCGATAAGTTTTTCTAACTTCCTATTACGTGTTGGGTGTTTACTTTATTATTTGCGCAATTATATTTTCGCAATTAAATTCTGCATTCATGCATAAAAGCTCGATAAGTTTGAAAGGGCTATGGTAGGATACAACTTGGGAACCAAATGCTTAGGAATTCCTCTGCCAGCATATAGTAAGCATAGAGGCCTCCCTAAACCATCCAAAATTATCCTAAAACCATGTCTTTACGCCACCCGAAAGCCCTAGGTCTACCTAAATAGGGTAAGGATGTAATGATATGTGTTTTCTTATCTAAATGTATGTTTGCTTACGATGTTATTATATGTGTTTTATCTTTCACTCATCAAACAGTGTGGTTGTATGAAACTATGAATGAAAAACGTTCTCAAAATTCCTAAACATCATTTTCTCATTAGATTTTCATCCACTCAATCAGTAGTAATCATACGAAGATTAAAGACACATGCATGAGATGAAAAATGAATTTGCATTCATACATCGTTGCATTTTTGCATAAGCATCATGCATAAATATAAAGAACAAAATTAATTTAACAATGTTGAGACAAAACCAGGTTTCCTTAAAATTGCTCGTCCACAAGGAAAAAGTCAAGACTTCAAGTACTTAACTAGATCCAAGTTCAAGTTTGTCATGGAAGCATTCCAGAAGAAGTTAAGCGTCATTGAAGAAAAGATAACCGGATTCGATGAAAAGCTAGCCGGGTTCGATGAAATGAAGGATCAGCTGAACATGATAGTAAAGATCTTATCAGCTAAAGAGAAGGAGGTAGTACCTGACGATGAAGAAATACACTCTGATGAAGAAGATCGTGATAGGCACCTGAAGGGTGAAGCTTCCAGTGCCAAGATCCTCTTCATACCCTCAAAAGACGTACATGACAAGAAGAACGTGGGATCTCCAAAATATGATGAAAAGGAAGGCAAATTGGAAGGAGCCATGGACGACATGCAATTAAAAGAGAAATGAGAATATCTGGACGAAAGGGTGAGAGCCATTGAAGGGGTAGAATCCTATGGTTCTACTGATGCCACACAATTATGTCTAGTGCCAGACGTGATAATTCCCCATAAATTTAAAATGCCTGAGTTTGAGAAGTATGATGGTACCACGTGCCCTAGAAACCATCTGATCACGTATTGCAACAAAATGGCTAACCACATCCGAGATGACAAGCTCATGATACATTGTTTTCAAAATAGTTTGAGTGGGCCAGCTTCAAGGTGGTACATGCAACTTGAAAGATCGAAGGTGAAAAGGTGGCAGGATCTTGCCGATGCATTCATGAAACACTACAAGCACAATCAAGATTTAGCCCCGGATAGAGAAGATTTACTCGCCATGGAAAAACAAGAGAAGGAATCCTTTCGTGAGTATGCAAAAAGGTGGCGAGGAAAGGCTGCAGATGTTCAACCCCCCTTGTCAGAAAAAGAAATGGTTTCGGCCTTCTTCGAAACACTAAAGCCTCCATATTACAACAACATGGTAGGGATCACCACAACAAATTTTGCAGATTTGTTAGTAATTGGAGAGAGAATAGAGAAAGGGATTAAGCAAGGCAAGATGGAGAATTCAGAAACCTCAAAGAAAGCTAGTCCGTCTCAAAAGGGAGAGGGAGATGTACATTCGACTGAAGATGATTCTTCAAAAGAGAGACGTTGGAATTACCAACCTCAAGGCAATCAAAATTCATCGATCATCCCACAACCAAATTTTGTCAATCCTCAGGCAGTATAGACACCACCACCTGCAACCCCACGAGCAAATAATCATGACTCAAACAATAATGGGATATACAATAAAGACATCCAAATCGATCCTATCCCCATCACGTATACCGAGTTGTTCCCCCAGTTGCTAAATGATCAGTTAATTTCCCCTATACCATGTCGTCCAATGCATCCTCCATACCCAAGATGGTACAAACCAGATGAACATTGCGATTACCACTCAGGAGCGGCAGGACACTCAACCGAGAATTGCAAATGGTTAAAAAGCAGGGTCCAACAAATGATAGAAGCCGGATTGCTGAAATTTGAGGAAAGGCCAAACACTCCAGACATCAACAGCAATCCTCTACCCAGTCATGACAACTAATATATACGCCACGTAGCAATGCTCGTTCAAGGATCATGTGGATCTTTGAGAACAAATAAATATCGAGACAGTTTCTCATGTTTAAGATGTACTACCTTTTGCTTTCATCATGTGGAATAAGAGATCACCCATATGTCTAACTACTTCGGACATTTTGTGATAATTATCAATCTCGATTTTGGGTTTTGCATCAATAGCCTTTATCTTCCCAAATAATGAATGTCTCTTTCAAATATTTCAACTTGATTTCCATAAAACAAAAAAATCTTAAATCCATCACATGTTTTCAAGTTTAGCCATGAGATTGCTATGGTAAGCAATTATGAACACCCCACTGGTGTTGAGAGTTGGAACACCCCACTGGTGTCGAGCGATTAAACACCCTACTGGTGTCGATATTTTGAGCACCCCACTGACGTTGAGAGTGCGCACACTTCCCTAGATTTGAGAGTATAAACACCCCATTGGTGTCCATAAAAATCATGTGAGCTAATAGTCAAAGGGTGAAACGAGGATACGACACCAGGCTATTTGTAGAATCTTGTCACTAACACGATATGCCTTTTCTAGCAAATTGATACCCAACTAGGCCCAAAATCAAGCAACGGATTCATGATACGCAGGAAATAACCACCCGCAGCAACTCAAGGTCTGTCTACTAGCCTCGACCAACAACGAGTAGAACCTCAAGCAAGAGCTTATATGATAAGAAACCTTTATAGTTGCTGCCACTTCACACAAAAACCTCCTCAACATGCCACTTTGGGACCAATCGATAATTCATTTGCTCCCTACTCGACCTTGTCTTTTAAAAAGCAAAGTTTCAAAAGAAAGGGGTGACAAAAGCCAAAAAATACACTCCCCAAAGATAACCAATATTCACCACTATTTTCGAGTAGGAGAGACCATCTCAATCAAAAGAACCCACAAACTCGACAACGATCTCCTATATATCAGTTAAATCTCATACTTTGGGGGGCAAGCCAAAATCCCTCATCAAAAAGCTTCATATGACTAGAACATATTCACTACGAGTTTCTACTATCTCGTCACTCAAACTCACATCTTGAGGAAAACCGAATCCCGGGTCAAGAAGATCCTCACGATTAAAGTCAGGTTCAACCAAAAACCTCCTTTAGGGAAATATTACATACATCCACTACAAGACCATATGAAGATCGCCAAAACCAATCACGCTAAACTTTCCTGTGTTGAGAAAACCTGAACCTCGAGCTCATCTGAACACCAACTGAAGGAGACATCTCATAGTGACCTGAATCTTAATGGTAGTTGAAATGTCGTAAACTCTAAGCACCCATAGGAATGAGTGAGAACGCAAAAGAAGAGTGAGAGTGATAATGAAAGCGAGGGCTTATAGGTACTCTCATGGCTTGATTTACTAAAACAGATTTACACAATTTGCACACACTTCTCTCAAGCAAGTTTTGAGATATGGAATGAGTTTCCATTATTCACAAAAGGTTTTGGACATTGTTGCATTCATCCGTAGTCGAGATTGATAAGAATCACACTTTGTTTCTGGAGTATTGAAAAAGATTATAGATCTTTCGGGGGCAAGAATAGCGCATCCTGGAAGAGGGGACTTGCAAAAGTACTCAATACTCATATTTCCAAAGAAATAAGTAGATGAAGACATATCAAGGATTTCGAAGCACTCAATAATTCATTGAATTCAATCGAATGGTCAATCTACACTTCGACGACTCGACTAGCAGAAAAAAACTCGATGTATCATGAATACTTCGAACCACGTAACGAATTTGTACCACAGAATTTCTCTGCAAAACCAACATCGAAATATATTTCTCATAATGAAAAATCTTCTCAGCCAATCACGACATTGCTCACATTGAAAGAAAAAACCATCACGGGCTGGCCGCTAGGCCGAACACATTATTCCAAACCTTACTCCTATGAGGACGGATTTCCCAAAGCACATATGTCGAAGCAATATCCAACAACTTTGTTCATTTACCATGGGGGCAAGAAATTAAGAGTTGGTACTAAGGTTCAAGTCGAGAAAGAATGACGAGACGATTCCTCGTGGATGATAAATTTAAAGGGAATATAGAAAAAAAACAAAAAAAAAACAAACATACATCATACTAAATTTTCACATGACATTCATGACATCATCATAACATATCATACAATTACATGTCATTACGAAACTCAGATATCCATCGGATGATTTCATAAAAGAAAAACTCAATAAATGCATGCTTTTTCGAATTACAAAGTCTTGGCATTTATTTTGACCAACAATCATGGCAAGTCATTGCATCACTTCATGCATGTCTACAACAAATATCATAAGAATGTAGAAGATGACTGGCGAGCATCAACAAATTTGCCAACGCTGTCGAGCGTTAAAGAAGTACAGTAGACGATGAATGGCGAGCATCAGCAAATCCGCCAACGCTGTCGAGCGTTAAAGAAGTACAGTAGACGATGACTGGCGAGCATCAACAAATCCGTCCGCCAACGCTGTCGAGCGTTAAAGAAATACAGTAAATGATGAATGGAGAGCATCAACAAATCCGCCAACGCTGTCGAGCGTTAAAGAAGTACAGTAGACGATGACTGGCGAGCATCAACAAATCCGTCCGCCAACGCTGTCGAGCGTTAAAGAAATACAGTAGACGATGAGTGGCGAGCATCAGCAAATCCGCCAACGCTGTCGAGCGTTAAAGAAGTACAGTAGACGATGACTGGCGAGCATCAGCAAATCCGCCAACGCTGTCGTGCGTTAAAGAAGTACAGTAGACGATGACTGGCGAGCATCAACAAATCCGCCCGCCAACGGTGTCGAGCGTTAAAGAAGTACGGTAGAAGATTACTGAAGAGAATCAACAATTCCCCCGACACTGTCGCGCGTCAAAGTAATACAGTAGGAAAAGATTTGAGCATCAGGAAACGGGAGCTAAGGAGCACCCCTAAAATTCAAAACCTCATGGGAGATGAGGAGCACCCCTACCATTCAATACCTCACAGGAGCTGGCGAGCCCCTCTATCAATCAACAACGCACGGGAGCTGAGGAGCTCCCCTACCATTCTATACCTCACAGGAGCTGGCGAGCCCCTCTATCAATCAACAACGCACGGGAGCTGAGGAGCGCCCCTACCATTCAATACCTCATGGGAGCTGAGCAGCGCCCCTACCATTCAATAACTCACAAGAGCTGGCGAGCCTCTCTACCAATCAACAACGCAAGGGAGCGTCATGATCTGCATTCGTGACGCAAACAACTACAAGCAGTACTCACAACACTTAAGTAGCACTTTCTGGTATATGACAAAATCGACATTAGAGTTTACAAAATGTGGTGTCTTTATAAGAACTTTGTATAACTCTTTATACAAAGAGATATACAAAGGGGGGGCAACTGTAGACACCACATTTTGTCCGGTCTGATATCTATCATAGAAACATCAAACTGCACCTTCAATCGAGAAGTGTGGCACAGTAAACTTGGTTAATGAAAACAAATCAAGGAGCGATATGGGTCATGATTAGGAATTCATATTAAAGAATTATTCAAAGCTCGATGGTAAAGGCTAGAAGAATATCGCTACAAAGAAAAAAAAATCGCCACAACTATCAAACATTACTACAAGAAATTTCAATTTGTACAACTATCATCCTCAAATACAAGATACAAGTTGAAAGGAAACAATCTACTCCTATTCTCGTATCAAGAATCCAAGTATGGCCCATAACCGGGGAGCCCAGACCAGCAAAAGCAGCCTGCAAAATCAGAGAAAATCAGTCAAGACAAGCCCAAGCTAGAATTCAAAGTCAACAAGTTCAAGCCCATAAATTAGTCCCAAGAATCAGGGCCCAGTTTGGCCCAAGTGCAAGACTGGATGAAGCCCATTTTGAGACCAGACGAAGACCATATCGCAAACAACTCTAGGCCCATTTCGGGCAGCTCGGCCCGACATCATATGCCAACCCTATCCACACCCTGACTAGTCAGAGCCGACCAAGCAAGGTGGAGCTCTCCAACACAGCCACTCAGCAACCGACTTTGCAGGTGGAGGGTTAAGATTCAGCCTTAAAATTCGACCAATCAGAAGGAAGCACGCTAGTTTCAGCTTCAGCAACGGCAAATGATCATGTGACATGTTGTGTATACTTTTGCTATTAAATGAGCTCATTGGGCTTTCTGTTGAGAGGGGACGGTTCTGGGAAAAAGAGTGGAGTAAAAACACGAAAGAGAGCTCTTTCTAGTTTTTTTTGGGATCGAATCCTTGTTCTTGGAGTACAAGAGTGGAGATAAGGTACAAGGCAAGGATTTCAAGACCAAGCTTGTAATCTGTAAACCAGGTTCATCCTTCTTCAATAACAATCCTTTTAGTTCTCTATCATGGTATCGCTTGTTTATGTATACTACTGATCCTTACATAATTCATTTATATTCAAGCACTTGTTATGTATCATTATCAATCATTCCAGTTTAAGTAGCCCTTCATTTAATTGCATAATAATACAATAGGAATATGCTAACTAGTCAGGTTAACTATGTTTGATGTGTGGTACGTAGCGGCATTTAGATTACACTTACCTTCTTACTAGTTTACTCGTTTTCCATCTAATAGAGCAACTCTGAAATGCTTATCTTTTATTTTTCCAAACATAGATCAATAGTTCATTTGATTTTCCCTTTCCTCTCGTGTCAAGAAAGGTGACTAACAATCTAAATATACAAATATTTTAGATCTTAATCCGCAATGCATACATCAGAAATTTCAAAAAGCTAAACCCACAAAAATCACCATAATCTCAATCGAGCCATGATAATACCCATACTGAAAACTTCATTTTCGTAGCTTAGTAAATCACAAGTAGTAGCCATAATCTATAATTGTCAAAATTAGCAATCTTTGAGCATGTTAATTACTTTTAAAATTCCCTTTTACCGATTTCCAGCATATCTTCAAGAGCTATAACCGAATCCACTAGATTTCATTCAATTCGAATTCAGATTTTTAATCCCAAAACTCAGGAGTAGTATATCATTTTCGAATCCATAAATAAATATTAGTTTTTTTTATCTCCTAGTTCGAAATCCCTAACCATACGAAGGGAAAGTCTAGAACATCCTTACTGTTTGAGCCCGGACAACTGGGCGTCACTCGGGTCCAAGGGGTTCGGGGCGTCAGCCATGACTTTGAGGGGGTAGGCGCCCCGCCTCGTCAGAAGCAAGAAAAGAGGAAGTGTGTAGAGAGAGAAAGTAGAGAGAAATAATAGTAAGAGCAGATAGATTGCCATTTATGAGGAGAGAACTCCTATTTATACACATTTTGGGGTTAGGTAGTGGTCTGGGCGCCTGCCAAGCCATAAATGCTATGGTCGGGCGCCTCATACCTTCTGACACTGTTCATAGTCCTTTTTGACAGAGGGTGTCCCCCTGCCCATTGTCCTTGCTGATGTCAGGTGTCTGGCCTTGTCTCTTGTCTCCCAGCCTTGTCTTTTTCCTGTTGTCTTCTTTCCTTCTCCATGCCATTAGCTATGGTATTATTTCTTTGGTTACTAGGATACCCTCTCAATTGCCCCTTTTGGCGATGGCACAAGTAATGCGGCATCGTCAAACAAGTATGTTCTAAAAAGGTCTAAAAAATAAAAAGAAAAAATAACAATACGAAATAGAAATAAAAAATACGAATACAAAAATACAAATTCGAAAGAATAACGCCTCTAAAATCGTAAGGGTTTTGAAAAAAGTTTAGGGGAGGATGCGAAGGCGCTACCTCCAACAGACTACTTGTGGTGGCAGTGGGCCAAACCCACCACCAGGTTTAGGATAGTCAAATTTGAGAGGGGAGTGAGTGGGTTGGGCTTTGAAAATAGCTTGCCTTGGAAACCGCGCGCCTACTCCCCCACCCCTCTATTTAAACTTCCCCTGTCACTATTCACATCACTTTTCTCCCTTTCATTCGGCCGCCTGCTCCTCTCGGCGCCTCCTTCTTCCTTCGCTGCTGCTCGCTCCTCAGAGGCGCCTCTCCAAGTTTTTGGTCGGCGCTTCTTCTTCTTGGTCGGCGCCTCTCCCGTTTTTAGTCGGCGCTGCCTGTTCCTCTCGGCGCCTCCTTCTTCCTTCGTTGCTGCTCGCTCCCCAAAGGCGCCTCTCCAAGCTTTTGGTCGACGCCTCTGATCCGTTTGGTAAGCGCCTCTCCCCCCTTTTACTTGACAATGGTGCTTTTGAATTTTTGGTTTGTTTGTTTGAGGTCGGCGTCTCTCTCCCGTTCGCAGGCGCCTTTGAGAATTTTGGTGCTTTTGAAAATCCTTTCTTTTTGTTGAGGGCGGCGCCTCTCTTCCATGCACAGGCGCCTTTGAAATTTTGGCTTGTTTGTTTTTCGGCGCCTCTCTCCCGTTCGCAGGCGCCTTTGAGAATTTTGGCGCCTTTGAAAATCCTTTCTTGTTGTTGAGGGCGGCGCCTCTCCTCCATGCACAGGCGCCTTTGAAATCTGGGTTTGGTGTTTGAGGGCGGCGCCTTTCTTCTATGCACAGGCGCCTTGGTTTCTTAACAGACTTGGGGATCTGATTTGGCCGCCCCTTCCGATTTGGAGCGCCGCTTCCCTTACTTTTTGCTAGGCGCCTTTGTTATACCTATTTTCGTTGGCGGGCACCTACCTTTTTTGTATTGGGCATCTGTTGAGATTCGATTGTTTTCTTGCGTTAATGTCTGGGCTCTTTGATTTGCTGTCTGTTTGCTTCCGCCTTTTGATGTTCTTCAATTTTTATTTTCAAAAGCGCCTTGCTTACCAGCGACTTGCTCTGTGCTTTCAGGCCTCTGTTTCAAGGCGTCGAAGGCGCCTACCAACTTATAGTCACGGGAGGCGACAACGGTTTTTTACCCGCGCGTTACCGGTTTAGGCGTTGTCACGCTTCTCCTCCCAGACCCCTTTTGCAGCCCACCTCTCTCTCATGGCTTCCAATAATTCGCAACCCTCTGCATCTATGGGTTGCGCCTCCGCCCCTTCTAAAGGGAAGGAGAAGGCTTCCTCAAGCAAAGTTAGAAAGATGGGTAAGCTATGCTATCTCTATTTTGTTTAAACTTTAATATTATGTATTTGTTGTGTTTGGGAATCTTAGTGGATCAAACAGTGTATAGACGAGCTAAATGGAGACTCGCCGAGATCGCCAGTGACATTGAGGATGAGCAATCATATACCCGATTGGATGCACTTTCCAAGGGTGATACGTCAAGTGTGGATCTCGACCCTGGCATGTCTAATTCCCGGACGATTAACGATTCGGGCTATACTATTTTACCATGGCGGGGGATGTGGGGTGATGAGGCGCCTCCTTCCTCGGCGCGTCTCCTAGGTCCTGATAAGCGACCCAGCATCCAATTGCACCGAGTGGTGACTTATATCCGTGGTCTAGGTTTTCCCACAGACTGGGGGTATGCGCTTCCGGATCGTAGTGCGCGCATCGGGAGTTGCCCCGAGGGTTGGTTTGCGATTTACTTGGAGTATTTGAAGTGTGGCTTAAAGTTCCCATTGGATCCCATCTTATCGAGCATCTTGGAGATGGTTGGGTGTCCGCTTAGTTTTCTATCTCCTTCACTTATTTTCCACACATGCGCCTTCAGACTCATCTGTAAGCGCCTAGGCTACATCCCTTCATTCTCTATCTTCCGCAGTATATACGCCTTGGAGCGGGGTAAGCATGGTTGGTTAGCTTTGAAGCGTGATAGTAAATACTAGGGACGGGTTTGCAAGGGATCGCCTAAGCTCCCTAGAAAATGGTATTGCTCCTAATTCTTCATTAAACTGATTCCTGGTACTTGGCATGCACCGACTTCGTCGCCTCTCTCGACTCTATGGGGTGAGGGTTCGGAGGAAACATGGGCCAAGGATTTTTCCCTTGGGAAGACTGAGCGGGAACAGAAGCACCACATTCTCCGCGCGCCTCCCGTGGATTTTGGGAGAAAGGGGGAGAGAGCGCGCGCCTTGGGAGAGCTTTATGAATGATTTTTATTCTATCTCCCAACTTATGGTATTTGCATAACTCATTTTCTTGCAGATTTCGACTACTCGAGCTTGGCGAAGATGACAAAGAAAACTCCTGGCGCCTCTGGAGTCAGGTCACAGAAGGCGCCTAGCACTCCTGCCGAGCGAACTCCCCGTTCATCTAGCCAGGCGCCTGCCGACACCGAGGAGGCGTCTCCTCGACTGTTTCCCTCATTGGGGCCGCGCGACCCTCTCCCAGAGAAGACATTGGGCAAGCGCCATGCTCCGACCGGCTCTCCTGCTGAGGTTCAGAAGAAGAAGAATAGACCTAGTCTCGGGAGCATTGATGAGATATTGGCGCCTCCTCGCTCGCAAACGCGCCGTAAAACCGAAGGAGCTTGTTCCAATCTCTCCTTCTGCTGCCCTCAACGCTCCAAGCGCCTTTACTTCGGCCGTGGAGTTGAAGAATTTTCTGAAGCCCCCCCTCGACGAGGGTACCTCTCCGGCAGGCTCGGCATGCCACCATTTGTTCCAGGTATGCTCTCACTCACTTTACTGTTAGTTGACCATGTCTTGCTACTAATCGATGTTGTTTCTTGCTTAGGCGATGCTGGATGTGGTTACGCTTTCTGACAAGAGTGCGGAGAATCGGGAGCGCGCCCACAAGAATTTCCTGTTAGCTTCTCAGTTGAAGACTGACAAGATAACTCTTCAAGGTGTTAACTCTCGTTTGGAGGATGAGTTGGCGTCGGTGAAGCAACAGCTTTCTGACGCCTTGGCTGCTGAGAGTGTTTCTGCTCGTGAAGAGAAGGAGAAGGAGTTGGCACTCCGGGCGAAGCGAATTGAGGACTTGGAGAAGGAGCTGTTGGCCATGTCCGCAGCTAGGGGGCGCCAGCAGGTAAGCTCTCTTGTTAACTTTTCTTGCTGTCACCCTTCATATGAGCTAAGCGCGTAAACCCTTTCTTTCAGGAGGAATTCAAGAAAAGGTTGGTCAAGGAGCGCGATGATGCCGTGGATGCCCATCTGTCGTCAGTAGAGTTGCGCGATTGGCAGCAGAACCTTCTGCTTGGAGTGAAGAAGAGAGCTTTCATCGGCATTCGTAAGAAAGTCCGTTCTGATAATCCCGGCATGAAGTGGGATACTCCGGAGGTCTGGCAGGCTATGGATGATTACTTCCTCTCTCTTGGTACGGATAACGAGCCTTCTGACTCGGACCCGTACCCCCGGATGAGGGTGATTCTTTTGCTGACGACGTCGAGGGGGCTGGGGATGAGGAAGTGGGTGACAATGGTGAAGCTATCGTCGATGCCAATGCTGGTGCCAGGAGGTTGGTGAGAAGGACGTCGTCGCTGCCGATGGTCAGGGTGGCGCCTCGGATGGTGGTACCGATGGTGATTCCAGCTCATCCGACGATGCTTCGAGCAAGTCGGGCTAGTAGAGTTAGGGTGTTTTTTTTTCTTGCTCGCTTGTTTGGACTCTGTTGATTTCATGCATCTTTTGCTCATTTTGCCCTTGTATGTTTGTAGATGTTTCGCTTTCGGACTATGCTATGCCTTCAAAAATGTTTGTTATCGGAAGGGTTTCCGTTTTCTTGGACCTGTTATGAATGTTGTTTTAATTCCGACACGTACTCTTTGAAGAAGAAGTAACGCGCTTAGGCTTCCCCTTGACGGATGAAGCAAGTTTTAGGTCTCCCCCACGTATTCTTGAAAAAGAAGTAACGTGTTTAGGCTTCTCCTCGACGGAGGAAGCAAGTTTTAGGTCTCCCACACGTATTCTTGAAAAAGAAGTAACGTGTTTAGGCTTCTCCTCGACGGAGGAAGCGGGTTCGGGTGACCCCTTCTGTCAAGGCAGGAATTTTTGCGAGGGATATCAATTTTATCGCCTCTCATGGGGACTCGTACAACGACCGCCCGATACATGGATGAAAATCCAAGTGTAAGCGCTAGGGCTCTTCCGCCAGTTTGCGGGGAAAAAGGTTTCGCGAAGATGACTATCTTGAGCCAAACACAATTTTTCTTACGTGTACCCCTGAAAAGGAGGTGACACGTTTGGGCTTCTCCTCGATGGAGGAAGCGAGTCGGGGGAGACTCCATCTGTTAAGATAGGAACAACTTTGCTTTGCTGAGTAGTGAATCTCCATTCCTTTAGCAAGATAGGGGATTACATGGGGTACTGTCAGGACGCGTCCCCTTTCCCGAAAATTCTTAATATTACCAATCTAAACTGAATAAAAGGACTCTATTAGGGCGTCTTTGGGTTACGCCCCTTTAAAAGCGCCCCTCCTCCCTACAAAAATGTCTACCTTTGGAGTAAAGCAAGAAAAAATAACACTTGAGTCTTCCTTAGGGCGTCTTCGGGCTACGCCTCCTTGAGAGCGCTCCTCCTCCCTACAATATGTTCACCTTCCGATTACTCCTCCTGTGCCTCTTGTTCGCACATGTACTTCCTCAGATGCCTTGCGTACCAGGTTTTGCTGACACGTTCTGCCTCCATGGGGGCGAGCTTGAAAGTGCTTGGTCCTATCACTTCCCTTACGACGAAGGGTCCCTCCCATTTAGCAGCCAACTTTCCATGATTCGGGTCAGGGCGGAATACCTTTCTCAGGACAAGGTCTCCCTCTTCGATGTGGTGAGGCTTCAGCTTTGAATTATAGTATTTTGCCAACTGCTCCTTGTCTTCTACCAGCCTCCGAAGCACCTCGACCCTTCTCTCATCTAGCATGTCCAGTTCGTGAGCCATGCTGACATTGTTCCCTTCATTGAAATATTGAACACGCAAGGTGGGTAACGCAACTTCCGTGGGAGTCACCGCTTCTGCACCAAAAGTTAGGGCGAATGGGGTTTCACCCGTAGAGCTTTTTGGGGTGGTGCGTAGCGCCCATAGTACATGGGGGAGTTCCTCTACCCAATTCCCTTTATGCTCTTGGAGACGCTTCTTTAGTCCTTGAAGTATGGTTTTGTTTGCTGCTTCCGCCTGTCCATTCGCTTCTGGGTATGCTACTGATGAGAGCTTGAGCTGGATATTGTATTCTTGACAAAAGTCTGCGAAGGATGCGCAGTCAAACTGCTTGCCATGATCAGTGACGATGGAATTGGGAATGCCAAATCGTGCAAGTATGTTGTTGAAGACAAATCTCTCGACTTGTTTTGCCGTGATAGTGGCCAACGGCTCAGCCTCAACCCACTTTGTGAAGTAGTCTACTGCCACGATAAGGTATTTCCTTTTTCCCGAAGCTTTGGGGAAAGGTCCTACTAGGTACATTCCCCATTGGGCAAAGGGCCAGGTGACGTTTCCTTGCATTGCAGTAGCTAGGAGGTGGTGCTCTTTGGCATGGGTTTGGCATGCATGACATGCCATAGTGAATTGCTTTGCATCATTTCTCATGGTTGGCCAGTAGTACCCTTGCAACTTAAGTGTTCTTTCCAAGCTTCTTGGCCCCCCATGTCCACCACACACGCCCTCATGAATCTCGCGGAGTGCCCACTTC